TTGCGCTAAAATGTATCATACTAATAAAATGACACGTATAACGATATCATACATTATCTCGTAGTTAAATGTATTAAGTATGATATACTAAAATATGTTTTCAGCCATCATGTGTCTATTGGCATATGTACTAATGATTAGTTTCTAGTAAAATTAAAATTACACATATATGTATTTTACGTATAAATATGCAGGAGAAAAATTTTGAAAAGTTATTTCTTTCCTATTTCTAGATATCCATAATTAATGGTTATTCATGCGCCTACTACTTGTTTTGGAATATTCATGTACAAATCTGGTATAATAACAATATAAAATATAGATATTTATTATGGTTCTAGTGCTCGCTAGCGAATACCCATAATTTAATAATAAATTTTCATGCCATACATTAATAATACACGAAGCTAACATTCTCTAAACTCTCTTGCTAGCTCCGTATCTCGCATATATCCTTTGTACAGGACAGAGCTTTTGGCCACGAGCTGCCGCCTATTACTTTGTCCATGCGCACATTCTACTTAACGAATTTAATTATCATCGTACTCGATAAATTTCACCGCGGCATGTTACTAATATCTATCATGTTATTGTGATGATGCTGCCAGTGATGACCTAATTATCATACTTCAGTGTCGCAGCACAAACTTAAAATAGCTACATCCGATCGGTGATTTTTTATAGCTTAGTTAAGCGCAAAACCTCTATTGAATCTTGAAGGCGAAAGTTTTAAAAGTAGAGAGGGAAAAGAGGAAAGTTGATTGCGCATATGCAAAAATGGAAAGACGAATATAAAGAAGAGACGACAACGACATTTGAGACGTAAGAGTTCGAATCGGAGTAACTGCGGCAAGGAGGAATAACGAAAATAAATTTCGATCGAATTGTATCCTCAAAGTTTGGATCGTGATTGCGTTCGAAGAAGAGTGGGGGGAGGGGGCAGAAGGAGAGCGCGAACGAGGTTTCGATCGCGGTAATTTAACGGATAAGGTACTACGCTACTCCTCTCGAATCCGTTCTTATACCTATGGATTCTCTCTCTCTCTCTCCTTCTTAGTATTTAATGCTTATAACCCAGTTTCCAAGTCGATCAGGCTAACGTCATTAGATTGAGTGCTTGCATAGTTTTCAAATATTCCAACAAGCTGTACTGATTATTGCACTTACAATTAGTTAACCAACTTCAAGTAAATTTAATCTAAACTACTAATTTCTCTCAACCTCTTTTCGTCGAGGACTGTTAATTTATTAAATATACCAATGATGGAGGTTACGTCACTTTGAAGCAATTACTAATTTCATGTTATTCAGTTATCTAATTAACAAACTTACCAACAAGTTAGCGGAGAAATCTCGTATCAATAGAAGATTTATACCTACATTTGACAAATAGCTTCTTCTTCAAAGGAATCCATTCTGTATACTAATAAATTTTCCTTTGAAAAAATAGGTTAAATTTATACATCGGAAAATAGTTTTGTAGTAAATTTTTCTTCGGAATGTGTTTCAAATCTCTTGCAAAAAGATCAACTTTCAGTATTTCACGCATTGGACAATCCCTATACGAATTTCAAATCCGAGAGTAACTGTAGTAGAATCGTAAATTCAAACAAAAGCGAGAAGGTGAGAGAGAGGAAGGTACAGAAAGAGAACTGGTTTAATCATATATAGTGAGTCTATCGACGAGTCCGAGCCGCGGAAAGGCGAAGCAAACGCAAGCTCGCCTGCACAGCTGAAACCTCTACCATCTGTGTGAACGTTTGAATCGGCTCGAGATCCGCTTAGTGTTATCCTGAAAGCGTTTTCGCACTCGCAAAACTAGAGCTCACACAAACGCGCGCGTGCGGACACGTGAAAGGGAGAGCGAGTCTTTCGATTCTTTATACTTTTTTTTTAACACTGATACATATACGAGTACTGCACGCACATCGTCGTCGTAGTTGTCATGACGATGAAGACAAACAGATACGCATGTTGCCACTGTACAACATGAGCTTTCGACGTACAGTTCGCTGCCACCTTCCCCACGATAACTTTTCTTACTTGGTTGAAAAGGTTATAAAAGCACATTTAAATATTTAGCTTTATTTCATTTCTATTGCTCTTCTTATTTCACTCGTTTCTACTTTTTCTTTTTCTTTAAAAGTTGACTTTTATGAGAATGGTCAACTACGTGCTGGGAATTCGCTGGTACAATCTGATTTGGTGGTGTAATCCCGCTAGGTTTGTAAATAAATTTTTGTTTGCATGACAAGTAGTATGTTAAAATAACAGTATATAATTTTAATATAACATATTTGAATGTTGAACGGATTGGCATGGTGTAAGTCAGGTGAAAATAAAAGGAGAATTATTGGCACGAAACAGTTTTTTTATTTTAAAGTACTCTATACAGCTCGAGAAGCGGAGAGTAAGAGATATGCCGTATAGGGCATCGAGTACGCATCACACGACGCATGCGCTATCCAATTGAGCTCATATACACTCATATCATCAACGTTAAATATCAAATACCAAATTAATACAGCAGTTGACCTTTCAATCAGTTTTCATATTGGTCGCGCAGTCAACTATACAATGTGAATCATAATAAATTATCCATTTACACGAAATTGAATATGAGTATAGTTTTTATCAAGTTTGTTGAACCGTAGTAATTTCGATTTCGGAATGCAAATAAGCATCCAAGAAAGCTCATTAAAAACTCAACGTAATTTTCTTGGGGATATTAATTTCACGTCAGATTTTCACGTTGGGAGATAAAATAAAAAAGAAATATCCCGAGACAATTCTTACTGGGGAGCTAGCAAAAATGTTGAGCTTCGACTGAGCGCAGCGAGCCGATGATAAAGCGGATAGGAAAGGGGGTCGGTAGCTTTCTCTCTCTGTCTCTCTCCTACAGAGTCCATTACCAAGGACCGCGCACCACTTCCGGGAGGTAGCTTCCTTCTTCTTCATCTCTGCTCTTTAACGTCCGACACCTCGGCCAGTCTTCTTTTTTTACTCAGTTCATCTAAACCGCCGTTTCTTTTTACCGATGCTTTTTATCCAGCTGCTTTTGAATATGGAACTATGGATTGTCGATTAACGTTTTGCGAGGATTTCTTAATTTTAATTCATAAAGAAATGATGGATGATACGACAGTTGGTGTTATTTTTGGCCTGGCAGTACGATTAATACGCCTGCGTGACGATATTTTCATTTTTTGGTCGGCTAATGCTACGGACTTGGAATTAAAAAGTATGCTGACTGAATTTTTGGCGCATTTGCGTCGAATTACAGTTTTAATGTGCATCATTAAAGCTTAATTGCTTGAGTTTATATGGTGGATCCTTCTTTTCTCATCTCAAATACTTTCTCAGTTTTTTTTCCTGAAAATATTGTCAAACTATTACAACAAGTTTCAATAGATCTTTTTGAAAGAATAAATGTAGTGTACGAGATTCCATTGAAAAGGGCGCGTGCGATGGCGAATTCATCCTACGAAAAAGCATGCAAAATTTATAAGATACGTTCTTCTAATGGGTCTTACGTAACAGACATTTTCCTTTTTGACTGCATCCTCCACGGAGCGTAGTTACATATACGAGCTGTAGATTCACTCTTGAATAACCTCTCGACTGAAAGGAGTTACCCATCATACCCAGACACATTCGCCGTAGATGCGTGTGCATGATTTCACGAAAAATGTATCTGAGAATTTGATCTGAGCAAAAAGCACACTGTTGAAGCTTGCGCAATTGGCACGCCTCGCAGGAACAATACGCAGGTAGGAAAAGAAAGCACAGCGACAATCTGGCATTGTTGTCTGGCCTGTAATAAACGCTCGCTCGCAGTAAAAGTCGACTGTTGCTATCTATTTAAATGAGGATGGTATAGAGTCGGTGAGAGATCAGAAACTCTGCCTCGGAACTCGTCTTTAAGCCTTTAAGTATCCTCCTTCCGACTTCCGGATGAGTGTATATATAGCCGAAGCGTGTGTATATACTCGCAGAGCTGCGATGCCTTCGCAAAGGACTGGGATTAGCTCGAAGGCTAGAGCTTAATTTCTTGGGCCATCTCTTTCTCTCTCTTTTCCATCCTTCACACAGGTATACAACAGCAGCGAACCGCCCTCTTTCCTTCTATCTCGCTTGCAGTCGCCTCGCTCCTTATTTCTTATCGCTTCGAGTGCAATTTGCCTCGCCTCAGGGTTAATTATTGCTACGAAAATTAAGGGATTACATTATTCTTTGTTGAGGGGAGATTATCGTTTTTTGCCCTCTTTTGTTGCAGATGCGCGCAAGACCGTTCGGCTTTGTTGCTACAAATTGAGACTTACAGTCCGTGCTTTGTTATTTTCATCATCTGCGTTAATTAGAATAAAACTTATTCGCCATAATCCTTATGATTCGACTTACTTTCTGCCTTTTTTCAGTACTGATTAAAATCAACGTCGATAATTACAAATTTTCAATTTATTGCTGGATCTTTAAACTGGCATATTCGTATTACTTATGGATACAGCGTGAATCAATTATGCATAGGTCGGATATCATATCTACTCCTAACTATCTTTCATTATCGAATTATCTCGTCTTTGACAAATTCATTCTTGTATTATATGTACAATGCACGATTTACAACTGTAAATTATCACTAACCTCAATTTACATAAGTCAATAAACAATAGTTATTCTTTAAGAGAAACAGTTTACAATTAGTTTATAATTAGCCAGGCTCGTTTAATCAACATTCAACTGGGTTCATTGAATTTTCAACTGATCAAATGTGACTTGCCAACATAGATAAACATCCAAGGTCCAAAGCATCAAACCCGATTCCTCAGCACGTAGATCACTCATCGACATCAGAGCTAGAGAGAGGGACGACAAGTCGAGAGGGAAGCCGGTAAACAGACTAGCGTGCGAGCGGATCTTATCCGAGCGTCGGCCCTGGGGGAAGGAAGTTGCCAGAGTCCCGCTCGAGCTTTTCGCTACGATCGATGCGAGGGCGGAGAATGGACTGTAGCGGTGGTGGTGGCGACGGCGCGACGGCGCGCCGCCAGGACAACGACGACGAGCTACTGCCAGAACCTGACTGGATGAAGGAACAACGTCGTGTCGAGCTACTTAGTAAGGAGGAAAAGCTGCGCGATAAAAAACTCATTGCTGACACCATCAGGAGAAAAGTTGAACTTGGTACGTTTGCTTGTTCCTGAACGATATGTGGAGAAGTCTCACATTAAAAAAAGAATCGACACGACCTATTTTTCATACGTCTCTCTGGTTCTGACTGATTGACAATTTCTAGTGATATATGCGAGGGAAGTAGGTTATTGGAAATTGAAGTATGCCCCTGGAAAAAGTTATGCGACTCTGACGGTTATTTTTCCAGCGCCGCCATCGTCGCTGCCAGCAATTTCGAATACTGTTTGACATATTGGCAATTTGATGGCGTAATTGCTCAACCAAAATTATATGCGCATATATTAATCCTCATATTCATTGCTTGCTAAATCATTATTGAACCGATAATGAGACAAATCCAAATATTACGCTCTCCGTGTAAATTCTTTATTTTTATTCTTGAAAATAATCGACGTTGCATGCATGCATTTGAAAATGAACTGAATGTCAATCTTGATCTATTAACTCTAATCGTCTCTCTCAAATCAATAATAAAAATTATTTTAGAAATCAAATTGGAAGCTTCAATCCTTCGCAATCTCAATTTGTTTATCTATTAATCAAACGAATGTAATTTTATTGCTCTTAATTGATCAAATTCACGGTAGTGCGCGCCCTTAATGTCATTATGGTTATATGTACGGTCGAATGGATGCATAAGTCATTATTTTAAAATACGTGGAAAATAGTCATTGTTACTGTTATCACCGCAGTAAAGAGCGAGGCAGTCGAGGTCTTATCATTATGTATTCGCATTTCTTATTGCTTTCGGGTGCAGGAAAGTTTTACAGTGCGCGCCTTTATATTCGATGTGGTAACCAGCTCCTTCTTCCTAGTCTACGCTCTGTGTGATGTCATGAGCATAGCGATCGTTTGTTGGCATTGACTCCGAGACTGTATTCTACTCTTTTTGTGATCGAGTCAATGGTTTTTTTTACGTTTCAATTGAAAAAATCAATATTTTGTTATGCCGAACATTTTCAATGAATCAGGAAAGTGTAAAATGCTTATTATTACGTTCGTCGGTGAAAAACTCATTGAAACTCTTATCAGTCCTATGCACAAGGAAGCATCATAAAATATTGATTTATTTATTCACACTCGATTATGAAGTTTTTAGCTGCTGCTATTAGCATACTTGAAAGAAAAGCTCTTGAATTCTTAATTTGCCTCGAAAACGCGCCCTCCTTTCGCAAACTAGACAAGAAGAAGAAATGTCAGTGCGTCTTTTTCTCACATTTTATTTCAATTGCATCATCATCCGTCCTCGCGGAAACTTTCGTCTGCTTCGCCTTTCGGAGATAACATCGAATCTTGTACTCGAAGCTACGCGGTCAGAGGCAGACTTTGATGGTTGCGCATAAAGTTGGAAGTTGGCGTGTGTGCATGTCCTATAGCGTGCATTGCGTGTGCGAATTGCCGGTAGACCACCGCCCGTTGTAAGAGACGGAAGTAGCAGCAGCGCAGGGTTTCAACTCGCGCGCAACAATCGGATAACTGCCTGTGCTGATTTCCTCGGCAATAAACGGACATTGCTAACTTGGCCGAGCACACCGTGCGCAAAACACTCTTGGGCCAAAACTATTGTCTTGATTGTCGCGTCCTGGATACGTTGTAAACGAATACGAATAGCCTGCTTGTTACTTGTGACTGATTTCAGAACCTTTAGTAAACTCGAAAACTGACGCTTGTGAGAATCGATGTCTCCGCGCATCCTCGATTACTCATGGGAGACTTTGTTATGCACGCATCAATAATTGTCTGCTCTGCGAGATAGCAATGTGGTTGGACGCAACTTATTGATGTGCTCAGTAGATTCACGAATACGGTGAGGCGTGCTTTGAAACACCTAATGAGAATTTTCAAGCAAACATTCTGCAAATTTTCTGCAATTTAAAAATAAATCAGTAAAGGGGTGCTATCATAAATGCAGATATGTCCATTAAATAATCGCGCAAAATAATCGCTATTCATCAGTCAGGTTTATCTCTATCTAGGCCATATAATATGTATGAAAGTAACCGCAAGTCGCAATAATTTCCATCAAAAGGCCATATCCTTTGCTTGTGGAAGTTGCGTCTCGAGAAAGCTGATGTTGCCCTCGAGCATGAGGCGGATACACGCCCTTAATAGCAGTCGCCTTCTCGGCCCGTATATAATCCCATAAAGCGTCGTCTCGACAGCTTCACGCCCAGGCATTTACACACAAATAAGTTTTTAACGGGCCATAAAGCATCCGCGCAGGCATGGAGGCATACGAGCAGGACTTGGAGGAACGTAGAGACCGACTGCGCGAACTCTTGCTGCGCGAGGAAACTCAACTCATCCGTGAGCTTATTCAAAAAGCACGAGAGGCCGAGGAGCAGCGCACCAACGAGTTGATGGCCAGAATTGCCGAGCTCGAAAAGGACAAAGAGTGCGACGAAAAGATACTGCTGAGAGAGAAGCAGATGCAATTGTTTGAGCAAACTAGCCAGGCCATTCGAGAGGCCAGGGCTAGGGCTTGGACGGAGGATGCCAAGAAGGCTAATTTGGCTCAGATTGCTGAAGCTGAAGAACGCCGCAGGTAGATTTATTTTTTTCGCTATTTAAAATTGAAGCCTTCGTTCCATTGTTCCAAGCTTGCTTCAATTGACGGGCAAGCAAACCATTTTAAAATCCATATCGGCTATTATTATTTCGAGAGCTTTTTAATGAAGAGAGACATCTCCGCTAAACTTTTGATACTTCTCATTTCTCATGTTGTTTCACGAACTGCCATTGATGCTGCATTTTCAGAAAGCTCTTCATCCGGTTCAGTTATCATCGGCGTCTTTTCATTATTTTATTGAACAGCACCGACGATAACAATTTATCGAGTAAACTTTCAAAAGGCAACTCGCGTACGTTCTTGTTTGAAAGTTTCCTCGAAGCATATTTTGTGATTTGGTTTTTCTCAAGGCAATATGACTCCAGAGGATCTTTAAATGAAAAGTTGTTGGATTTAATAGTCCCGGTGCGATACATTAGCGTAATCTCGAAGTACTACGTCATCTTGAAAGTTGCTAGAAAGCTATAAAAAAAATGAACAGTGCGATTTTCACTGTCCCGGAGTGGAAAACAACGGCGTATGGGCGCTCGGTAAATATTATTATATAAAGCTATAGAAGCTGTCAGAGTGTTGGCGCAGAGTACAGCGGAGCATACGCTCGATAAATATTATTATACAAAGCTATAGAAGCTGTCAGAGTGTTTGAGCAGAGAGAATTACAAGTTAACTATCTCGGTCTGCGCGCGAGCCTTTGGTGGTCGTAACGTGTGCGCGAGGTCTGCACAACTTACCGCGAAAGTGAAGTCTTAGCAAAACCGCAAATCCATCAGGAAACTTGTTTCTGTCTGGTTGCTACTCTCTTACTATGCGGGGCATGCACAGGCGGGATCGCGAGTACGAAGCATTCTGGCACGAGCAGCTGCTGGAGCGTTGCGCCAGCGAGGAAACAGCCGAGGCGCGCACTGCCTCGAGGCGCGCCGAGTCGGAGCGTCGTCGAGTCGAGGTCCTGCGCCGACAAATGGAAGCCAAACGGCCGCCCATCAAAGAAGCAACGCAGCCCGACTACGGCACGGATGGGGCGTCTATTTTGCCGCGCGGCGCTGCGGAGGATCAAGCGAAGACGAAGCAGCGTCGACTGCGAGAGGACCTCGATCGCCAGCTGGCCGAGGAGAGGCAACGGGCCGAGGAGCTCCGCGCCCTCGAACGGATGAACAGCAGCCACGACGACAAAGGGCTACCGAGAGAGGAGGAGCCCCGACGCCACGCCGACAAGGAAGCCAGACGCGCGGAAGTCTTGGCTTTCATGCAGAGCATGCGGGTGAGTAAGAGCTGGATAGATGTGGCTGCTATATGTACGAGCGCGTGGCTGCTTCGTCGTTGTTGGACGACGACGACAACGACGATGCTCGTTAATTGAGTGGCCCCGGAGGCTGCCGTCGTGCTTCGAGAGCATCGCTATACCAGCAGCGCCACCCCCATTGATTGTGCCCTAGAGCTGCCCTACTGCTTGCTCTGGCTTACGAATTCCAGATGATTTACGAGCCGACAATTAACCGATTACCCACCGCCTACGTTCCATCTCCGGGCTCTATTCGGATTTTTGATCGTTATATATACCGCAACGACGAATAAAACATCGGTAACTCTAGTGTTCTTTCATTTGGTGAACAGGATGCTTGGTCGATTGCCGAATGCCCTTTGCAGGCATTTCCAACAATTATAATCGTGAAAGTGCAATAAAACATCGTCACAATGGGTGTCAGCGGTGCGAAAGGTCTGAATTTTTCGGAAGCGACGAATAGTCTGGGAATGCCACGTATGCGCGCTGAGTTCTTCCGTCGGCAGGAGTAGTAGAGAGGCTTTTATCGGGTAGCCCTCGACGGCGGCGTACGCGAAACGGAAATCAAACTGATTTCGAGCCGCGCGTCGACGAGAGGTGCTCTGGATGCGGAACGCTTAGATTTCACGCCGACGCTCGTCCTCTCCTCGCTTGCGCACACTTCTACATTCTCTTTTTCGCGCGCGTTCGTTGCCGGCAGCGGCTCTCCTTAGGCATTCGGAGAGTTTTTCGGCGCATCGTGTACACTTCGCGCGCTATGCGAATTTTTCACGGATAACGCTTTTAGGAGAGAAATATTTTATGCGGCTACACGCTATCTACAACTCTTCTCGCGAACCTTTCTCCTTTCTTCATAGCATTTCGTCGCGGCCCTTTAAATTTTTGCATTGCAATCGTTGCCGGAATTTTGATGTTTATTGCTGCGTTATTGCGCGTGGCGTGCATCGAACGTGCAGATTCCTTTTTTTTTTTCAATTTTTCTGCACCATATGCTTTCGGTAAATTGATCTTTTTATTGACGCTCTTTTTCTGTAAACCACGCGAGTTTGAAAAAAAGTTTTTTTATAATTTATTTCTAAGTGCTGCTCATTTCGAATGTTCTTTTGGAATAATTATTTGTGATTGATTGTGAAAGTTTACTCTAATTATTACTTTGAAAATCGTGATATAGAATCTATGAATTATTCATCATTTTTAATTATAATTATTTTTAATAATCACAAGCAATACAAAATCATTTTTTATTTTAACCGACAAGTAGTTAACGATCAATTGGATATAATACTCTCTATTCACTTCCAAAATTAATAATATGTGTAGAGGCAAATGGAAGTCCTATTAGGTTTTATTCTCAAATGTCAGAAAGCTTTTAAGCTTATTACGTCAAGAGTAGCAAAGGGCACTGTTTTTTGGCTCTCACTTTTTTGAGCTTCACAGTATCTACAAGATATTCTTCTCAAGCCATGTACTTATAATATTCATTGTATTATATAATAATTATGAATTTCATATCATAAGACCCAATTTACCTAAATAACGCTTATACATCTTTTTGTATAGAAATATTCATATTAACAATATTTCTTTGAACTAGATAAAAAAGATATTATTTCAAAGTAGTTTTACTATATAGATTTTCACTGTATGTTATCCTCCATTTGCGAGAGTATTTTTGGAAACCTTAAAATTTTTATTGAAATAGAAATATAATATTTATAAAAATAGGAACACTAGAATCTCAATCAGCAATATCAAAAAATTGATTATCAAAAAATTTCAAGTGATTTCAATCCTTCTTTCGAAAATACCACAGAATTAACTTAGGAAATAAAGAATAATTTCAAAATATAATATAAAATTCTAATACCTAGGAATCATTTTTAAAGAAGTCAATACTAATAATACTAATAAGCGCGATTGACCAAGTTGCTCATTTTTTCTGAATGTCTGACCAAATACTGACTTTGACTACATGAAAAGTGTATTTTCGCAAAGCTAACACAATTATTCGCCTACTCTAGAAAGTATTAGAACTAACGAAGATAGCATAGTTAATCACGGTAGAGCAGACACTAAACTAAAAACCATAACACTAGCAAATCTCGGAGAAGTATTATCAGGTGTCTTGGCGTACTTCTCTCAGTCAGACTCCTTGCCGCAGTAGACCATCCGGCGCTAAGCACTTCCTCGGTGCAGCGAGTTACACGCGCGCGTGCATAAGTCAGTCGTCTAGTGCTGCTTCCTCTTAATTAATCTCCCGAAAATGACTCTCTCTCTCTCCCTCTCTCTCTCTCTCCTGGTTATATAGCAAGGCGTCGACATCTCGCAATCAGCGTGCGCGCATTGTTCATCGGCGAAGGCAGGAAGCGCATACACACAACTAGGCGATGCGCACCTCGGCGATCGAGCGAGGATGCTCTCATGCGCGCGTTGGCGTCTGCTTCGGATTACACCGCTCGCTCGCTCCCGCGGATGCGAATATGTACATATATATAGCTCTAGCACACAGGCGCTCGGCTAAATGCGCATTGGTCTTTGCATGCACCGCTGCTAATCTGACTTGGAGCGCGTTTTCCATTATGAGCTTCTATCTCTCTGTGCTGTGCTGCTTTGTCTGGTTTTTGATTTTTAGATGTTATCACTTCTGCTAAATAGACAGTAAAGAATGATTTCAAATTGTAGTGCGGTTACACTTGTGCGTACGGTTCATTTGTCAGTTATTTCAGCGTTTACTTTTGATGATTTGTGACCAAATAATAGTCAGCAGTCATTGCTGTAACTGTTCGCTCAGGCGAGAAAGATAAATTTACGAGATTTAAACGCTGGTACTAGGCATACGCGTTGTTAACGTTTGCGTAAACTTCCCGTGCAAATTGTATACTAACAGCTTCGGTGATATTTTCATTTGCACGGCTTCCAAAGCAACCAGAATGTAATCTAGTTCGAAGTGCGTAGCTACTGTAATATCTCAAAGCTATATTAATGCAACTTACAGAGCCTCGCCCGTGCACAACTGAACTATAAATTTTGACAAAGCATCTCTCTCTCTCTCTCTCTCTCTCTCTCTCTCCCTCGCATACGCTCACTGTGTGTACGCGCACTTCCAGCGTTCTATGCCATCCCCCCTCCCCTCGTTGAGCCTACCGGTGCTACCATAAACTAATAACCGAAACGTTGATGATGTGTGTAGCATGAAATATTGCAGCTGCTAGTATTAGAAGTCATAAAATGCTCACCTATCCCTCCTTCTGCCTGATTTTCCTATTGCACTAAGTAAAGTAACCCAAATATGGTCAGATGTGCATTGCACTCTTCTTACATCAAATAAACAACTTTGAATATTTGTAAAAAATTGATAATGTACATTTGAATCTCGTGAAATGCTTATTTGCGAGACGAATTGATTAATTTATTTATTTATATATATATATTTTTTTTGAATGCTAAAGTGTCGTAATAAACTATAATTATCAAGCGCAACATCCTTTATGAAAAATAAATCCCGAGCAATAAAGCCTTACGCCTCGCGAATACTTAGAGCTAAAGCCTCCCACTACTCGCACGCATGAAGGCGCATAAACGCGGTAAACATTTTGGCATTTTGACAGGAATTTCGGGAAGCGGTGGCGCGTCGCGAGTCAGAGGCCGACAAGTGCGTGCGTCGCTTGGCCGCTGACGCCGAGGCGAAACGGCGTGAAGAGCGGCTACGCATCAAAGAAGAGAGAATCCGCTCAGGTCGCGAGCTACGGCTCGCTTGGGACCGCCAACTCGAGGAGAAACGCCAGCAGCAGCAACACCAACAGCAGCTCGACCAAGATAATTGCGAGCGTAAGCTTCACTCACTCTCCCTCTCTCTATCTGCCTCTACGCGCATGCCTCCGCAGACAAAGTGAATTACTTTAATTATTTTAGAGCGGCCAAGTTTCACTTATATAACGAATAGTTACCAGAAGTGCTGCGTGGTGCTGCACGAGCTTTTCGGTGATGCGCGGGTTAGGCTTACGAATCATTTACGTGGCAATTTGTTTAGCTACGTTAAACTCACTGCTATTTATTTAAATTTGTATTCATTGAATTATTTCATTTAAAGTAATTGACAACGCTATGATTCATTTGTTTGTTTTATGTAATATTTCTGTTCATGTCTGAATTATAACGTCGTGAACCTGTCTGACATGATACTGACTTTTATCACTAATTCTACAACTTACGAAAATGCAGCAATACGCATATCACGTGATCATAATGCAATGTACATCGTTATTAATTATTTCGATTTTAGAAGATGCAATGCCTAAAGATTGGAGATATATATGTAAAACAAACTAATGACTTCATAAAATATTAACTACGGCAACATAATAATAATAAATTAACCTATCATAAGAAAAATAATAAGTTGGTAACATTAAGATTGGTTGATTCTAAATAAGGTCGCGAAATTTCGAATTTTCGTATATTTTCAAATATTTATATTATATATCTAATAGTAATTATAGGGATTTATATACAGCAGTGAATTCAATTGATGAATAATTAATACGAATAAAGAGCTGTAAGAATGAAATATGCCATTGATAAATCGCTTTAAGAAAATAACAGGTTATGTGTTGAAATTATCCTAAAATTATTAGTACAACTGGATAATTTGATTACCAACGTATTGATCTGTGATATTGAAATTAATATTGTCATCTTAAAATTTGATTGGAAGAAAAAGTCCATTACGTAGATAATGAAGGAAAATAAATTTTTTATTTTCCTAGATTGCAAAGTAAGAGATATTGCGAGCAACGGAAACTAAATATCAGAATATCAAGTGTCACAGCCGCGACACCAAGACGAGTAGGCCTGCGAGAAGCGCCCGACACTATGTATAGTAAAATGGCTTTCTGCGCTCTCGTGAAAAATTTTTTATATTTCTTTTCACTTTCCTGCATTAATCGCTGGTAGCTTTCTTCATAATTTTGAAAGACTATGCTACCATTATTGTTCTAAAAAAACAATCTTTGCAACTTTACTGGTTGTGATTTACAAGTTGCAAATATTCTAATATTATCTTATTGGATTATCGCGCTTTTACTCGCGTAAAAATTTGTAAGGAAGCCATTTGAGACGCAACACGTTATATCTTAAACCCATTAAATTTAAAGAATATTTACTGATATTTTCAACTAGGTTATAAAAAAGTGCATGTTATTAAATGTATTGCTAATGCTAATATAAGACTGTGACCTTAAGAAACCATTATTATTGAGTAAGGTTTAGTATTATATAATAGTATAATAACTTAATACGCTTTATCAATCGCAGATTTACTGAATATTTTGGATAATTTTTCCGATTCATCTTGAAATAGATTAAAGTTCATCGTTATTTGTGTGAAATAATGGGTACAAATTTTTTTCGTGAATGAATATCAATAGACGTAGCATAGTTCAAATAGCATGATTTATTTTTACGTATATATTATTAGAACCTCAGATTTACCATGTAAAAAGTTCAATTAATCTAATAAATAAAAAAATATATATAAAGAAGAGCGCGCTAAGCACGCTAAATGACGCTAGTGTAAATAAAGAATGAGAATCGGGTATATTCATAATTTGCTGTTAGCCAGACAAAAAGAAAATGAATGTTAATGCCGAGATTTCTCCGGGAATAAGTTATTACGCGATTAGTACCGAGAACGCAGGATAGCCACATAACGTAGGCTAACGCTCTCCTTGGTGACAGAGAGATGGGTCGGTGTTTATTTATATATAGTCGTAAGGTACGTTTATGTGTGGTCCTCTGTTTTTACAAATTGCGGGCTAAGTCAGTCAATTCCAAAAAGGCTTACACGTGCAGCACCTAAAGCAAGTGATGACATTTTCCGCACCCTCGTTCTCTTTTTTTAGAGTTTTATCGCTTATCTAGAACTCTGTATTTTTTTTGCTTCGTGTCGATAAACGTCATAGTAACACGAGCGCACACGCGAGACAACACGAGCAAAGTAAATACAGAGACGACGAGCTGTTGGCGATCGCATGTGCGCGTGACGTTGTTTCGAGTTTGATCGTATCGAGAGAATTCCAAAAGTTTTTTCAGTCAGTCGCGAGTGTGCTTGTCGCTTGCTGGACAACGCCATCAGCAAGGTCCGATAAAAGTAGCAGACGAGCTCGCGTTATCGCCAACTTGATAGAGAAACGGAGTTTCTTCTGCAGGGTCGCACAGAAAAAAAGATGCATTGATATGATAATGGCAGATTGAAATGTATTTTCATTGGAAGCCGTCGATCCAGTCGTGATTTCTTTTTTCTTTTTGCATTAAGTTAAAACTTTCCTTTTCTCCTTGTAGCCCTCGAAAAATTCCAGCAAGAGGTGAAGGAGAAGCGCGCACGTCGTCATCGAGCAGCCATAGAATACGGTCGCGAATTGCTGGCCCAGCAAAACTTGTGGCAAGAAAGTCGTGCCCGCGAGCAACGCGTATTGGATGAGTACTATGAGCTGCAGAGGACCGAGCGTGAACGTGAGGAGCAAAGACTCGCGCGCGAATTGGCTTTTGGCTCTAGACTCAGGATTTCTGGATTCCCTTAAGATTGCAAATCAAGTCTACGACCCTAAGGTACATCGTATTATAAAATAGAATTTCCGTTAGATTTATTAAGCGATTGGAATGAATTTTAGTATTTCAAGCGCATCTCAAACATTTGTAAGCCTTGAGCATACGAAAGGATCTGGAAAGTGTGAATAAAGCAATAATTTGAAAATTAGCTTCTATCTCGTAGCGATCAAATGAACCCCAAAATCCCACCCAAGATCCCTCGCGCTTCCCCCCCTTTTACTTATATACTATATAAGTATAGGAGTGGGTATAAAGCAAGCCAGCTGAAAATTCAGCTCGCATCCCCATAGACGTCAAGGAATTCATCGCGTGTCCGATGCTCGCTCGTGCGCGCGTCTCTTGCTATCCTCTTCTCTTGTTTTGTAAGCGTCCGAACGCACAGACTGAGGGGGATAAAGAGAAAGAGAGAGAGAGAGAGAGAGAGAGAGAGAGAGAGAGAGAGAGAGAGAAGACTCTTTGACGATCGACTCTCCCTTTTGCCCGGTCAGCTGGAAATCTCTATATCTCTCGCGTTGCGCCTGCGGCGGCACGCTACTGTGCGTGAAGAATTCAGCCGCAATTAGATCCCAGAGCTGAAACGCCATTTTTTCTTTTTTTTTCATCGTCTGACCCCCCTTCGGGCAACTTACGCTCGATCTACTTTTCTTCTTATTATGTATTTGCATTGATATAAGGATTTTCTTTTTGCTGCAATCGAATATCCATCAGTAATTATTGCGTTATTTTTATTTTCAAAAGAACTTTCCATGGCATTCCAACAGATTCAAACACTATTTTCAGTAAAAGAAACTTTGTACTTTCCAGAAATACTTCGTTCTTTCGCAATCGCTCGTAACGTAATAAAATAAAAAAAAAATTTTAATCTCTTACGTTGGAAGTTCTTCAATGAAGCGGGCATTTCTTTCATTTTCAAAGTTAAAGTATTTTCCAGTAATTTAACATCACAAGTATTCTAGACAAGTTGTAAACTACGAATCATAAAAATTGTTGAGCGGAATTCAGTGCCAAAAATTATTTAGCGCAAGTTTGAAAAGTTCTTAAGAAGATGAACTCTTGCAAAGTCGTACACAGATAAAAACTGTATCAAACGTCCCAGTATAACTGAAAAACATTTCGTTAAATATCGGCAAATCTCTTAATTTTTACACTCGTTTATGTACGTCCCAAGTAAAAGAAAAGAGACATCCACTTTTAATTATGAATTCTTTGGTTAGACAAGTAAAAAAATAACAAATTTATTACTAGTTAACTGCTATCTTCTCAAAAAATTTTTTATTTTTATGTTTTGCAACACCACTAATAACGGAACATTAAAATTTTAATAAAAAAAGAACATTCAACTGTAAAATGTTAATGGGCTTGCATAAAACTTGATGAGATGCAACTTGATAAAGAAATAATGTGACTGAAGGTATACAAAAACAAGGGGTGGCTTTATTACATTCGTGCCTTGCGCCGTAGAATAACTTCATTTATTATTAAGGTAGGACAAAGGGGAAACGATTTCAAATAACAAGAAAAAATGTCGTAACCAGGAAAGTGTTATTTCAACGAATTGTTTATAAAACCAAATATTACAAAGCGAACGAAAGCCAACGAAATACAATTAAAATCGAACTGTTAGACAGTTAATTAAAATAGCGTGAATAAAAGTAATTAACCGTGAGGAAAAAAAAAGGAGAATCGCAGTGGGTCTTTTTTTTCTTCCTTTCTTGTCCTTCAGCGTCTTCGTCGGAAAGAAATCTAATTGACAACAAATTTACAAGGACTCACAATTACCGGTATAAAAGGCGACAATGTTTTCTCATTACTTCAGTCAACAGTACGCGAGGGGCTTAGCGTATTCCACCTCTTAAAACTTGGTTCCTGTTCGAGAAGAAAAAAAAGAGTAAGACAGAGAGAAAGAGCGAGAGAGAGGAGAGAGAGAGAGAAGACCCGCGAAGCCAAGATCAGCCATTGAAAGAGGTTAAACCCCTCCCACTTTGTTTGATACTTTGAGCTTTAACAGTGTACGTAAAATCCGTAGTTTTAATTAAAGTCTCGGATTGCGTCGAGTATTTATTTCAGATAGAGAAAAAGTCTTACAGTGTAAGCTATGCTTTCTACAATGTTTTTATCCTTACCTCGTACTCTAACATTGAGATAATATTTTTATGAATAAAAATTCCTATGGAATAATAAAATCTTTTTTTCCATCAAGCCTTTCCAAGTAAATTTTATTTTACAAACATGATCTGTGACGTTCAATGGACTTGCTCAATAACGCTCCTTCAATTCAGTTTCCTCGATGGAATAAAAGAGAAACGTACAAATTAATTAACCTATAAAAGATTCATGCACGATATCGTTCGAAGGGAAATTTCGGTAGCTTTTATTAAAAACTTTTTTTATTGGTATTGAACGGAATTTCACGTTCGAAAAAACAGACAGATCGATAAAGAAAAACCCAAGTCCAATATTAAAAAACTTGGGTTACCTACCTATATCCTTCAATAAATACTTTCAGTGTATATATATATATATATATATATATATATATATATATATATATATATATATATATATATATATATATATATATATATGTAATATCGTTTGCCGAGCGCAAGTCTCACTCTGGGTAAAACTTTGTCGGAAGGCAACACGTGGACTGGGCTCCGTAATTAATTTCGGCTTTCTTGAATATCGGGGTCGTGTTCTCTCTTCTCTCCCTCTCTCTTGCGCGCAGCAGCCGCCGCCGCCGTCGCCACGATATTGGGTTTCCGCGAAGGGTGGATAGACTCGCGTTCGCTAAGTAGAACAGCGAAGGTTGGAGGTGAGAGGCAAAGGGCGATCGCCCGCAGCGTCGCCCCAGGTACAGTCTGAGAATAATGCAAAATTAATTTCCTGCCGTTGCCGCGATCTCTTTTTCAACGACCTAGACGCGACGATGTTCGCCTTTCCATTCTCTCTCTCTCTCTCTCTCTCTCTCTCTCTCTCTCTCTCTCTCTCTCTGCAGATCCACTCTGCACTCGAAGCGTAAGAGAGGCACATACATGTACGTGTATATTGAGCGTAACGCGTCTGCTTTCGCTATACACACATATGAGTTTCGATTTCCAGATTATTTACTATGAGTTTGCATTTCTCTCTCACCCTGTGCAGAGTGCATTGGCATGAACAAGTTGTTTTGTTTTTATTCTACAATATATAGAATAATGAAGCTTGAATCGATTGCTTTTCTTGATATTGGCTTTCGATTGACTGCTAGAGAGAGAGAGAGAGAGAGAGAGAGAGAGAGAGAGATGATGCTCGGCTCTCTCGTTGCTCGACTTACATACTCAATGCTATTCCAAAAGCCGTATGAAATGTAAACGTTATTGGAGACGCACTGCTGCTACTGCAAGCTCCTGAAGTAATTTACTTCTTTTACCGTTCTTATCTTGCGCCGCTATGGAGAAATGTTAATAACTGTAGTTTCGTCGAGAGCTTGAAATTTTAACCAAATATTTTTGCGCCAAGAGCTCTCACGTGCATACACTGACGAAGAAACCGAGTGGTTTTCCATTACGCATGGAAAAAGCATCCAGTGTTTGTTCAAGTGCAGTTTTTTCTTCATTTCTCAATGACTCTCGTTATAGTGACTCTCATTATAGACCTGCAAATGGTTAAGCGTGTTTTCATACCCTCGAGCATTTTCTTCTGATATTTCTCTGCCAACGATTTCACGATTTCTCAGTATATTTCGTTTATTACGGAGGAAATAAACAATGATGGACGTATTTATAAATAGCAACGCGGAATCGCACTTACAAACGGATCAAAGTATGGCAGTTGGAAGGCCGAGCAGCAGTAGCAGCAGCAGTAGCAAGAAGGAAGTCTAAAGAAAGAAAGCAAAGCACAGTTTGCCTCCTTTTGCTCTCGCGATCGCGAGATCGAGAGCCCGTGCGAGCTTTTCAGCGCCACTTGTCACGCCTTAAGAAATGAAGATTGATAGCCTCGTAAAGGCTTTCTCTTTCACTTTGTTTGGTATTATAGTCTCGTATACGTCAATGTTGCTCGGAGTCATTCTATAGCGAGCGCTGCTCATACCACTGTGTGTGCGAGGCTAGCAACTCTAGCAGTCATAAAATAGCTCTGCACGTCGCGCCGTTTGATGCGATATGTCCGTGTATTCTTTGTTGCTACACGCGAGTATACTTTTATATTGCTATAAGAGTTTTTCATCTGTCAATTAAGGCCATTTTTTCTCTGTACGCGAATTGAGATTTGCTGTTACAGCGAATTAAGTACGTTAATTTGTTTTCTAGAATTACTCACGTGAGGCGCATTAAAACGCCGAGGCAATGTGTCAGTCAATATATATCCCTAACGCTTCTTAAATAAAGCTTATTTTTTGCGAGCCATACATTGCACTCTGTGTGTTAGAGTGATTCAAGAAATATCAGACAATTACTAGTACCCAACACAGTTTTAGATTAAGATTAACGAGGGCAAAACAATGAAACGTAGTTGGATACAAATTATGTATAGAAGAGAGCGAAACAATAGGCAAGAGAAGAAAAACAGTTTTCCCTAACAATCGTAAAAATGATAAACATTGCATGTCTCTTTAATCCGTACAAAAGACACTCGAGTCGTTCCAGCATTACGCAAACAAGACAATCATGTCTCGAGAGGCAAGGTAAGAAAAAAATGTACATATACATGTATATCTACGCACATATAAGACGAGCAGTAGAGCGAGCACGTCATCTCAGTCGTCGGAGCGAGTTTCCTCGATTTTTCTCAGCAGCGGGTGTGACGTCTTCGCGCGAGCGTATAATAACTTAACAACTGTGCGTTGACAGTGCAATTTTTAAAGGCACGATATGCAGCAGTCCGCCTCCATGAATCGAGGATGAGCCCTTTTTTTCCTTCTCTGCGAGCGGAAAAATTGAATTTCCGAGAGCAACCCGCTTGAACATATCTCATGCGCACATTGTGTGTAGTT